ATGCTGCTGTTGATGATGATGCTAATGCTGATGACGATGATGACACGGTTGGTGCTGTTGATGACGATGATGATGTTGTTTAGGATGATGACTCTGGTGATGATTGTGGTGCTGATGACGATGCTGCTGCTTTGATGGTGATGATGATGGTGATGCTGGTGCTGATGCGGAGGCTGATGACGAGTATGACGTCGATTATGCTAAGACGGTGACAATGATGCTGGCGATGCTATTGCTCATGTTGATGACGCTGCTGATGCTGATGCTGGTGATGGTGATGCTGCTTCTGATGATTGTTCTGATGCTGTGATGAGTGTGATGACTGTGTTGATGATTGTGGTGATGATGCCGATTATGTTTGTGAGGTTGATGGCGGTGATGGATGTGATGATGCTGCTCATGATGATGATGATGATGATGATGATGATGATGATGCTGATGATGCTGATGCTGATGATGATGATGATGATGATGATGATGATGATGATGATGATGATGATAATGACGACGACGATGATGATGATGATGAGGATGATGATGATGATGATGATGATGATGATGATGATGATGATGATGCTGATGTGGGTGATGATGTTGCTATTGCTGCTGCTGACCATGCTGAGATGAAGCTGTTATTGATGGTGAGGAGTCTGATGCTGCTGCTGAGGATGACGATTATGATTATGATGACGATGCCGATGCTGATGCTGATGATGCTAATGATGATGCTGTTGATGATGCTGATGATGATGCTGGTGCTGATTTTGATGATGATAATGATGATGCTGATGCTGCTGCCACTGCTACTGCTGATGATGCGGATGAAGATGATGAGGATGATGATGATGCTGATGATGATGCTGATGAAGATGCTGATGCTGATGCTGATGCTGATGCTGATGCTCATGTTGATGATGATGCTGCCTTCGATGATGATGATGATGATGATGATGAGGAGGAGGAGGAGGAGGAGGAGGAGGAGGAGGAGGAGGAGGAGGAGCTCCCGCCCCCGGGCGGGGGGGTGAAGGACGGGTGCACGAAAGGTGCACCTCTCCTTCACCTCCGCGCCAACTGCCCCCCCCCCCCCATGAAGCAACGCCCAAAGGTGAGGGCGAGGGAGGAAGGCGGCGGCCCGAGGAGGCAGGCGGCGATTCTCAGGAGCCGCCCTGCCTCCTCGCATGCCTCCCCCCAGAACTCAGGGGCACATGGGCAACGTCAGGGGGGCGAGGCTCAGAGGGGAAAACATTGACCCCCAATCGCCTAACCCGATGCTGGTGAGAGTCATTCCCTGGGGATAATCAAGCTCAGGGTCCAGGGAGGATGACGTATTTGTTCCCCGGAGATATCGATGGTAGGATGTCTGGATCGATCTTCCCGAAGATCAGAGCTACGATCGGAACTTTGGAGCGGATCAGGCAGTTCGGCCTCCCCGCCTATTGTGGCAATGGAACCACATTCAGTCCCGTGGATCAACAGATCCAAGGGTTAAGGGGGGGACGCTTTATCATCCTCGAGATGCGGTTATTCCTCACCGGTTGGGGGCCTGATATCCCGCCCGGCCCAGGGGCGGGCAGATTCGCTATCGGGGGCCTACCGCCGATCTATCGGCGAGGTATCGGCGATGGCACCTCGATGCTTCCCTGCCTCCTCGGAGGCCTCCCCGGACCCTCCGCCCTGGGGACCTCTCCCGAGAAGGCCCCCCTTCCCTTTCGTATGTAGGGCCGAGGGTCAGAGAGCGCCTTCCTCTGCAGGACCTTTGAAACAGGTACGCCGAGGTGGTCCAACGCCTCGCTGGTTAAGCCGACGAGTATGTGCAAAGTCCAACCAGACTCTTATGTCCAAACTTTTGGCTTGACGCCAGGTGTGGTGCATCGATTTCGGCTTGACCGAACAGGCTGGTTGCGCCCCTCGACGTCCGTTTCGGGTGTTCTGCAGGCCTGACCCCCCAGCCCCACTCGACCTCTCCCTCTCCACGCGCCCTCTTGGAAGGCCGCCGCCGACCCCGCGACCGGGATGCCCGCTCCAAGCGGGTCCCTGGGCCCCCCTTGCGGGGCCAGTCCCGGGCCGGCTCTCTCGGACCGCGTCCGGCCGTGGCGGCCTGAACCAGCACGCTCTCCGCGCGCGACTCTGGGCTGCCGGGTGCAGCGTTGGCCCTCGCGTGGCGCTCGGTTTGCCTGGTGCATTCTGCCTGGCGCACCGTCGTTGTTGTTGGGGAAGCCGTTGCGGCTTGAACCTCCAGAGGCGCCCACAGGCCTCCAACCGACGAAGCGCCCCAAAAACTCCAAGCCGATGACGAAGACGACAAAGGTCGTGGTCGTTGTTGCCGCCCTCCTCTGCCAGCCCCTCCTCCGCCGCGCCGGCGGCGCCAGGTCGGGCCTCGTCCAGCCGCCCGAGCTGCAGCCGTTCGAGAACCAGGTGAGGAAGGTCCGCACGCGTAAGGTGTTCGAACGCCTCTTCTCCGACTCGGTGGCGAGGGACGAGCGCCGGGATCTGATACGGGACACCCGCGCGGCGGCCACCGCGCCCCCCCCTCAGATCAGACGTCATACGCTTCCCCCTCCTGCCCCTCCTCCTCCTCCTCCTCCTCCTCCTCCTCCTCCTCCTCCTCCTCCACGTCCTTCCTCTCCTTCTTCTGTTCCACCTCGCACCTTCCTCCTCCCCCCTCGCTCCTTCCTAGCAGCGCCTGGCTCCTCCCTCCTTCCTCCTAGCTCATTGCTGCCTCCGCCTCCTCCCCCCTACGTAGTTCATTGCTGCTTCCTTTCGCTTCTTGCTTCTCCGTTCCTCATTCCCGCTTCCTTCCTGTTTTTTTCGTTCCTGTTTCCTCCTTCCTCTCCCCCTTTCCCTTCGTCTTTCCTCCTCCTTCATGCCTCCTTGCTCTTAGTTTTCCCTTTTCATCCAGTCTCTCTTCTCCTTCTTTCTGCTCTTCCTCCCGCTTCCCTCCCTCTTCATCCAGACACGATGCCCAGGGAAGCTGCCCTGAACTCTTAGAGGTATCGTGTGGCGTCTTGGGGCGTTTTGCCGCTTCGGTGCCTCTGAGGGCTCTCTTCGGGGCCACTTGGGGGCCTCCTAGGGCCTCTAACCAGCTGCGCCCTTCCAGGAGGCCAACATGGGTTCCAACAGCAAAGGCAATCACATCTGCTTGACCTTTTCGCTGAGGCCATCTCGGACGCTCTAACCGCTCGCGAATCCCCCGTATAGCCCCAGCTCCAGTTCCCAACGAGATCGGCGCAAGCAGTCTCGCTCCCTTCCACCCGCCCTCCCATCACACCAGTAGCACTCGTCTAGGCCTCCTCGCTGGTATCCGAGCAGATGGGGTCGGAGGATCGCGCCGCATTGCCGATGCATCGGGGTTGCGGCTCGATTTGGAATCCGATTCTGTCCACGCTGGCGTCGCCGATGCGTCGCCGACGCATCGTCAATTCATCGCCGATGCATCGCCGATGCATCGCCGATGTATCGGCGATGCGGCGCCATCCTCCGACCGCATCTACTCCGACACCACCGTGGAGGCCTCCAACTCGAGTCTCCGCATAGGCAGGGGCCGCCATCGACCACCATCGGTCGGGAGCCGGTGCAGGATGCCAGGCAGGTGTGCGACGCCCAGGAGGTGCGCCACACACGCCAGGTGCGCCAGGTGCGCACCGGGTGCGCCATGCTTGGCACTCTGTCGACCCTCCAGCCGGCCCCTGTCAAAAAGTGATCTTTTTCTTATTCCTTGCTTTGCCGATCGGCGCATGCCCTCGCACCCCCCCCTCCCCCCCCCCTCATGGAGTGGATCTTGGCTGTTTTTTGGCGCCTGTTTCAGGCAGGTGGAGCCTCCCTCATAATGGACGCCCTGCCGCAAATAGTCGCACTGACCAGAGGCCCATCCCCCCCTCCCCCCCCTTCCGCCCAATGTCGAAATGCCGAGAATTAAGAAACGCCCAAAAACCGGTGTCACGCGACGGCGGGTTTGCGGGCATGGTGTTTTGTGTGCGGGCGTGCGCCTGCAATCGCTTGGCAGAGGATGTTGACGCGGACAGTGGGCCTGCGCTCGGCAGGCAGTATCCGGTTCTCCCCCCTGCCGTCCCTTGTAAAACAAAAACGGATGGTGGGCCTGCGCGCAGCAGGCAATGCGTGCCAGCCCCCCCCCCCGCCGCCCTTGTCAAGCGTCAGTGCGAAGTGACCGCGGGGCGTCCGCGCACGATTCTGATCTTGTTGCAAAGGGCACTCCGTGTTGTTTCGTGTGCCAGGGATGGTTGGGGGGTGTTGGCCTTGCACGCAGCAGGCAATCTGGCGCCCCCTCCCCCCCCCCGCGGCCCCTGGCAAAAACCAGTGCGAAGTGATCGCGGGGCGTCCGCGCATGACCCATATTTTGGAAACAAGCACACGTACACACCTACATACAAGTGGCACGTGTGTGCCCAGGCTCATACAAAAAAACTGAAGGGGCGTTTGAAGCAGGAGTGAAATGCAGCAGCGAAGTCGCACTCGAGCGCAAGTGGGGTTGCCACACCTTGCGATGTGTGTACCAGGGCCCTCCAGGAAGCCTCAGGAGGCCCGACTTGGATACCAGAAGATGCTCCAGGAGGCCCCAGGATTGTGAGTGTTGTGTGTGCGTGTGTGCGTGTGATGTGTGCTCTGTGTTGTGCGTGCTTATTGTGCGTTGTAAGTGTGTGTGTGTGTGTGTGTGTGTGTGTGTGTGTGTGTGTGTCTGTGTGTGTGTGTGTTATGTTTGTCTAGCGTGTGATGTGTTGGGCGTGATTTGTGTCTCTGTGTGTGCATGTAGTTCTGAGGCCCCAGGAGGCCCCAGGCGGCCTCAGGAGGCCCCAGGAGACCCCAGGAGGCTTCAGGAGGCCCCAAGAGGCTCCAGGAGGCCACAGGAGGCCCCAGGAGGCCCCAGGAGTTTTCAGGAGACCCCCAGGAGGCTCCGAGGCAAGGTCTGGGGTGCCAGAAGGTTCAGAAAGCCCCAGGAGGTTCCAGGATGTTCCAGGAGGCCCCCAGGAGGCTCCGAGGCGGGGTCTGGGGTACCAGAGGGTACGTCGGGGTTCGATTTTGGGAGGATGTTTCAGGCGAAACCGCCATTCTCTGAGAATCGGGGTCAACATTATTGAAATTACCATGTGTGTTTTGAAGGTTTTATGTTTAAATGTTGAACTTCCCATCTGTTGTTGGACCCTGACGTCACGATCTGCGTGAGGGGTGCCACCGATGCTCAGAATGTCGAGGATGTCCCTAGCGAAACGGCCAGAAAAATCGCGAACGCCCCGCGTACGCATTAATCGCCTCTGAGCTCTACTCCCTCGGAGAGGTGCGTACGAATAAACACACATATATATATGTACATATTTATGTGTATATATATATATATATATATATATGTAGATATATACTAGTGTGGACCCGTGGATTAAATCCATGGCGCTGCGTGAGTCGAAGTTTGCCGACGCGCGCTTTTCGCCTCTTCAGGCCCTCTTGGGGGTCCTCCCGTCTTGGGGCCTTCTTGGCAGACTCGGGTCCCTCTTGGCTTGTCTTGGGGGCCTCTTGGGCGCTTGTTGGGTCTGGGGGCCTCTTGGGGATTTACTGGCCATCTTGGGGACCCCTTGGACTCGTAGAGCTCTTCCCATGGGCTGCCTTGGGGCTCTTTTGGGCGCCTCTTGGACCGTATTTGGGCGATCCTGGAGGCCTCTTGGACCGTCTTGGGGGTCCAGACGGTCGAGAGCACGAGAATTTCAGAATCCGTAGGAAACCCATGGGACATTTGTGCTTTCGGCCTCTTGGGGCCCTCGAGGGTTCGGAGCCGTCTCGGGGCGTCTTGGCGGGTTATGGGGCCGCCTTGGAAGCATCTTGGGCCGTCGGAGGGCCGTCTGGGGTGAAGTCGGGCCGTCTTTAGTCGTCTCGGTGCCTCCTTGGGCCGTCTCGGGGCTTTTCTGGGGAGCTCCAGTGCCGTTTCGGGGACCTCTGGAGACCCTCCTGTGCCGTATCGGGCTCCCCAGGGCGCTCGGGGAACCGGGGGTCCCCCCAAACCCGCCAGGCTTCCAACGGGTTTATTTGGATATGTATGTCTGTGAGTGAGTAAGTATGCATGCATGCATGCATGTATGTATGTATGTATGTATGTATGTATGTATGCATGCATGCATGCATGCATGTATGTATGTATGTATGTATGTATGGCTGTATGGCTGTATGTATGTCTGTCTGTCTGTCTGTCTGTCTGTCTGTCTGCCTGCCTGCCTGCCTGCCTGCCTGTCTGTCTGTCTGTCTGTCTGTCTGTATGTATGTATGTATGTATGTATGTATGTATATGTAGACGTATTCTTTTGCAAGGGATGGTGGGCGTGGGGGGTGCCCGCTTGGTTCGGTTTTGTCGCCAGTCGGATGGGGGAGGGGGTGGAGGTTAGTAGAAAATAGTGATCAGGCTAGCCCTCCCCTCCACAGGACGGCCGTCCCGCTCAGTCCCACCCGCCTTCCCGGCACCTCAGTAGCACTCGAGTCTCAGCATAGGCAGGGGCCGCCATCGGCCATCCTTGGGAACCAATGCAGACGCCAGCCAGGTGTGCGACGCCCGTAAGGCGCGCCGCACGTGCCAGGGCACCCCTGTCATGCTTGCCAAACAACGACGGAAAACGATCGTGGGGCACCCGCGCATGATCGCTGCTGGAAAGTGCACTTGATATGGTTCTTTCGGCAGTGGTGGTGGGCCTGCGCGCAGCAGGCGATATGCCAGCGCTCCCCTCGTCCCTCCCGAAAAGCAATGCAACGTGATCGCTTTGTTGCACGCGCATGATCCAGTTTTTTCCCGCAGCGTGCACTTGGTATTGTTTTTGACAGGGATGGTGTGTGGGTGTGTGCGTGTGTATGCGACTGTCCACGCAGGTCCCGTTGTGCGACAAGGACGTGGTGAACGGGTTGGCCGCTTCGCACTGGGTGCTCTGCCTCGTGCATGCTCCAGTTCCGGGCCGCTTCCTTTCGCCTCCGCGAGCTTGCCTCGGCGAGCACCCAGGTGCGCTCACACTGTCCTCGTCCTGTCCCCCTCGTCATCTGCACGCCCACCCCTTCTCAGCTCCCGGGTGCGGCCGTCCCCGTTGGGCCGTCGGGCTGGCCGCTCTTCTTTGGGCTGGTTCTCAGCCGACTTTCTGACGACCCTGTGGGCCTGCCGGCGCTGCTACCTCCCGTGGTGCAGCCCCTCAGTGATGCAGCCATCGCGGTGTCCTCGCCGCCTCTGCTGGCCTTCGGTCCCCTTGCGCCTTGTCCTGCCCTTTGCCAGTCGTCTGGCCTTGGCATCGCTGTAGTTTATACTGTCCCCCTATCGCCCTCCTGGCATGCCGCTTCTTCACCAGTTGGTACTGGGTATCTCGTCTGCCCCTCTGGTCATCTACGCCCAGATGACTCATGGCTGGCCGTGGCGCTGCTCGCCTTGAGCGGCTTGAGGGCTCGGCCGCTAGTCGCGCGCGCGTATTCTTTTCTCCGACTTTCGACGCCCTGTCGCTGCGCGCGGGGCCGCGACGCCAAGAGTGTGTGTGTGTGTGTGTTATGGTTCGTGGTTCGCCCCCGGTCAGGTGGGGGAGAGGGTGTATATAAGGAACAGTGACAGACCACGCCCCATAAATAGGTAGAAGGGGGGAGATGGAAGAGGAAGCGCGCTAAACCACCTCCGCCCAGTGGGCTGGTGGGATTATGCCACCTCCCACTCCTCTTCTTCTTCCTCCCCTCTTCCCACTCTTCCAATTGCTCTCAATCGTACTCTTCCTTATCCCAGTCCTTGTCCTCGTCCTAGTTAGTTCCCCCGTTCATCACAATCTCCCTTCATGATTTTGGTCCTGCTCCGGCTTCAGACATTGCTGTTGCTTTTGCTGTTGATGCTTCTCTTGCTCATGCCCTTGCCCCTGCGCTCTCAGTCTTGATCGGCGGGGCCAGAAAGTTCGGATTTTGCGTGTTCTCCAGCACCCCTCCCGAGGAGAAGAATGAGGAGGAGGAGGAGGAGGAGGAGGAGGAGGAGGAGGAGGAGGAGGAGGAGGAGGAGGAGGAGGAGGAGGAGGAGGACGAGATGGAGGTAGGGGGTTGGAGGAGAATGAGGAGGATTAGCAGGAGGAGGAGGAGGGAGGAGGAGGAGGGTGGAGGAGAATATGAGGAGGAAGGGTGATCCCAGAGCTCTGACGTCTTGTTTGTTCACGACTTGGGTCCCTGGAGCTTGACCCCGTGTTTCGCATAATGGGTAGTCGTGGAATGGCCCCAGAGCCCCAAACGGGCCCCTCCAGGGTCCGAAAGTGGCGAAACGCATCCAGAGTGATCTTTTCGAGTCTCCCGAGGTTCGATGATCCTCAGGTCGTGTGCCAGCCCAATGTGTGTGCTCATCCCGCTCAGCTCCACCGATCGGCACGAGCCTGCGTCGGCTCGCATGGGACCGGCGGCGTCGTGTCGAAGGGCTTCGGTGGACAAGCGCACGGTGGCGCTGACGCGCGTGCGGAGGACACTCGGGAGGCCTGGGGGGGGACCCGCCCCACCGCTGCCGGAGCGAGGACCTCTTCGCGATCGCCGCGGAGGATGCACGCCGCCGGGCGCCGGCGCCGCCGCGTGGCGCCTCTCGCGGGGGCGGGGGTGGGGCCGACGTCGGGCGGCGAGGTCAAAGCTCATCCTGGGCCCTCCTCCTGGGCCTGGGAATCCTCCTGGGCCCAGGATCGCCTGGGCCAGGCTCATCCTGGGCCCAGGATCGCCTGGGCCCAGGATCGCCCGGGCCAGGCTCATCCTGGGCCCAGGCTCGCTGGGCCCGGGCTCATCCACCGCTGCTGGCCAGGCGCATCCCGGGCCCCGGAGCGATCTCGTTCGGGGCGGGGGCCGCTCGGGGCAGGCTGTCGGTCGGAGCGAGGGGCCCGTGGGCGGGGAGATCGAGGATCGAGGATCGAGAAGATCGGGGATCGACGAACGCGGGGATGGGGAGATGGAGGATCGGGGGGCGGGCCGAGGATCGAGACCTCCCGAAGAGGAGGGCGAGGGAGGAGGCGGATCGAGGATCCAGGTATTCAGACGTTCTTGAGCCTCCTTGGGCCTCTGGGTCGCCCTCGTGGCCGCGGCTGGACCTGCCTCGAAGTTCTGGCCCGAGCGCACTCCCACGCAGCTCCAACGGGGCGGGAGGCGGACGAGGAGGAGGAGGGAGGGCAGGAGAGCAGGGGAGCAGGTGGGGGGCACGTAGGGGAGGGGAGGGTGCTGGAGGGCGAGGGAGGGCGCGGTGAGACGGGAAGATGATGATGCTGATGATGATGCTGATGATGCTGATGATGATGATGATGATGATGATGATGATGATGATGATGATGATGATGATGATGCTGATGATGATGAAAGGAGGAGGAGGAGGAGGAGGAGGAGGAGGAGGAGGAGGAGGAGGAGGAGGAGGAGGAGGAGCAGGAGGACCAGCGTATACCCAAGACTCGTCAACGATGTTGGAATGAACCTTCCCTCCGAGCTCCACCTCCATAGGCCCCTACGAGGGTTCATTTCCACTGAGGGAATGCCTCGTTGGGAGGCAGCCGTTTGAAGACCCTGGAGCATGCCAAAGCACAATTCTCTGGACTCCAACGCCACGGATCAACCTGACTGTTGCGTCCTGACGATCCTGCATGGTGTCAGACATTAGTCCTGGGACTTCAGCACCGCGAGCCAACGTAAATGTTGCACAGCCATAATCCTGAATCTTTCGAAAACACAATTTCTGGTACGTTGACCATGGGAATCCGTGAAAACTTGCAAGTGGTTAAAACGAATGTGCGCCGCGCTAAGGCGAGAGCCACATTTTGAAAACCGCCCGCCCTCACTCTGTGAAACCCTTGCACATTTTGAAGTTTGGAAGCAAATCTGCGCGGCGCTAAGGCGATAGCCAGATTTTGAAAACCATCCGCCCTCCATGTGTGAAACTGTTGTTGTTTTCTTTCAGGCTTCAGGGTCATACATGGTGAGGAAGTCTTTGGCGAAACGCCGGGCCCGCCCTTCGATTGGCCTCGGGGTGTCCATCCCATCCATCCACTTGTTTTCGAACGTAACCGCTCACTCGTCAGTCGTCCTCCTACGCATCCTTCCGCCCGCCCGCCCATCTTATCCTCGTCTTTATGGTTCTGCTTATCCTTCTCCCAACTCTTTGTCTGAGGAGTTTGGGCCTGAGGGTCCATAAATAGCTTTTGGCTCAAGCCAGTTTGGCTCATGTGATGGAGTTTGCGTGATCGTTTCGGCCTATCGGAAGCCAATATTGTTTGCTATGCTCATGGTTGCGTGTGCGCGCCATTATTTCCACATGTTGTTTTGTCTTGCCGTCGTTCGAGACCGGGAGCAGCGGCTCCATTGGTGTTGTTGTTTTTGTTGATTCAGTAACGTTCTCTGGTGCCGAGTACTGGTAATGATGATCCAGCCATGTGTCTTCACAATCAGGAGAGCCGCACTGAGCTGTGCCCATCGTTGGCCCTACTATCGAAAGGACGCTCCATGTGGTGGAGGGCAGCTCTCGTCCCTGTTCTGTTCGCTCGTCAGCTCTTGGAGGGGGCCACCGAGCGGACCTACATTCAGCGAGGCTCTCGAGGCTCTTGCGGCGTATCGCACACAGGCCGAAGCAGGTCCTCTGGCGCGGCACTATACCTACGCGTTGCGCGGGTCGCAGACAGGACTTTGGTACATTGGTTCCAGGACGTGTCCGAATTCCGTTTCTTCGCCAGAAGCGGACACGAGGTACATGGGTTCTTCAAGTGATTCGCAATTCAAGCAAGAGCGAATGCACAAGCTTATATTGACGAAGCATGACACGCGCGCTGACGCTATTGAGGCGGAGTGCTTCTTCCATGCTTTTTACAATGTGGCCGCAAATTGCGCGTTTGCCAACCGGGCACGGCAGACCTCAATTGGATTTAATCGTCAAGGGGTGCAGCTCAGTGAAGGCACAAAACGAAAGATGAGCGAGAGCAAGCGAGGAAGGACCCACAGCGAGGAGACGAAGAACAAGATGCGAGGAAGGACTGTCAGCGAGGAGACGAAGCGAAAGATGAGTGAGGCGAAGCGTGGTGACCGAAATCCTTTCTTCGGAAGGTGCCACAGTGAGGAGGCAAGGAAAAAGATGAGCGAGACCCTGCGAGGAAGGATTTTCAGCGAGGAGGCGAAGCGAAGGATGAGTGAGGCTAAGCGTGGTGACCGACATCCTCTCTTTGGAAGGAGCCACAGTGAGGAGACAAGGAGAAAGATGAGCGAGAGCCAGCGAGGAAGGACCCACAGCGAGGAGACGAAGAAAAAGATGCGGGGAAGGACTGTCAGCGAGGAGGCGAAGCGAAAGATGAGTGAGGCTAGGCGTGGTGACCGAAATCCTTTCTTTGGAAAGAGCCACAGTGAGGAGACGAAGAAACAGATAAGCAAGACCCTGCGAGGAAGGACCCTCAGCGAGGAGACGAAGAAAAAGATCAGCGAGACCCTGCGAAGAAGGACGTTCAGCGAGGAGACGAAGCAAACTATGCGAGGAAGGACGTTCAGCGAGGAGACGAAGCGAAAGATGAGTGAGGCTAAGAGTGGTGACCGACATCCTTTGTTTGGAAGGAGCCACAGTGAGGAGACGAAGCAACATATAAGCAAGACTTTGCGAGGAAGGACCCGCAGCGAGGAAGAAACAAAAATCAGCGAGACCCTGCGAGGAAGGACGTTCAGCGAGGAGACGAAGCGACATATGAATGAGGCTAAGAGTGGTGACCGACATCCTTTCTCTGGAAAGAGCCACAGTGAGGAGAAAAGGGAAACTATGAGCGAGAGCAAGCGAGGAAGGACCCGTAGCGAGGAGACGAAGAAAAAGATCAGCGAGAGCCTGCGAGGAAGGACGTTCAGCGAGGAGACGAAGCGAAATATGAGTGAGGCTAAGCGTGGTGGCCGACATCTTCTCTCTGGAAGAGCCACAGTGAGGAGACAAAGAAAACATGAACGAGACCCTGCGAGGAAGGACGTTCAGCGAGGAGGCGAAGCGAAAGATGAGCGAGGCTAAGAATTGTGGCCGACATCTTATCCTTAGAAAGAGCCACAGGGAGGAGACAAAGTGAAAGATGAATGAGACCCAGCGAGGAAGGGCCCTCAGCGAGGAGACGAAAAATAATGTGCGAGGAAGGACTTTCAGCGATGAGACGAAGCAGCAGATGAGTGCGACCCGACGAGGGGGTCTCCATAGAAGGTGACGAAGCGAAAGTTGTGCGGGGCTAAGCGTGATGATCGACATCTTCTCTTCGGAACGAGCCGCAGCGAGGAGACGAGTGCAAGCATGAGGGGTGCCCAGCGAGGAAAGACCCTCAGCGAGGAGACGCTGCAGACTATGATTGAGGCTAGGCGTGGGGGCCGGAGTCATTTCTTTGGAAGGCGCCCCACCTGAAGAGTCAAAGGCAATTATACGCGAGGCCTGGCGAGGAAAGACATCAACCAGGAGACGAAGCAAAGTATAAGCGAGGCTCTGCGTGAGGACTGGGACCCTTTCTTTCGGAAGGCACCACACTGAGGAGACAAAGCAAGATATCCGTGAGGCTCGACGATGCCGTCTCCACAGCGAGCAGGCGAAGCAAGAGACGGGCGCGGAGAAGCGTGGTCACCGACCCCCCCCTTTCAGGGCAGCTCCGCGCCGATGGGGCGTGCGGGCAGCAGCTCGGATGAGACGAAGCAGCACGTCCAAGCCCGGCTTCGCGCGGGAGCCGACGCAGCGGCCGATGGAGTGAGCCCGCGCGCGGGGGCGGCGCCCTCTCCTCTCCGAGGGCGGGGCGCGCGGGAGGCGGGGCGAAAGAGATGCGAGCGGGGCCGCGCGAGGCGCGATCGGCGGCCCCCGCCTCGGGGGCCCGCCGCGCCGCGGACGCCGAGGGCCCTGCTGCATCCCCCAGGGCCCCAGCGAGCTCATGTGCCCCCTTCGCCGCCGGCGCCCCGCGGCGGCAGAGCGCGAGCGGGCCCCCATGCTGCGAGCGGAGCGGAGCCTGCTGTCTGAGAGACAAAGAGGGGGGGGGGGGGGGGGCTGGGGCCCCCCAGGGGGGGGCCCTGCCGAAGCCGGGGGGGCCCCGGGCGCAGCCGACGCGCGGAGGCGGCGAGGGGCGAGCGGGCCCCTGTCAGTGCGAGGGGGGAGGAGCGGGGCCTGCCTCCTGGCCCGAGGGCGCGGGGAGCGCCGTGCGCGCGCTGCGCTCCTCTTCTGAAGGCGCCCCGCGCGCAGCTCGAGCGGGCTGCGGCTCCGACCGCTGCCGCCCTCGGAGCCACCTCGGCCGGCTTCCGTCGGCCAGCGGCTGCCCCCGCAGCGCCAGGCACGCAGCCGCCCCCATCACACGGCGCCGACCTCTGCGGCTTCTGCAGTGGGGCCACCGCGCTGCCGCGGCGCGCGGGGGGTTGGCCCGCGGCGGGCCCTGGAGGCCTGCGCGGGAGTCACTGGAGGCCTCCGGACCTTCCTGGAGGCCTCCTCAGACCCCCCCCCACACATATCCAGGCGACCAAAAAGCATAGTGAAGGTCATTGTTTTGACGTTTTCGTTCTTTTGAGGCCGCTTCCCAGCCCTGGGGTCATCAGAAGACGACTCAGGATGAACACCCAGCCTTGGGGAAGGGGTTGGGGTCCGTGCGAGCCCGTGTCACGAGAATTTTGCGACGTCAGAGACATTGTCCGACGTAGACATTGTCCGGCGTATCGCAAAAAAAAGTAGTGCCGAGTTTTTTCCAGCATTTTCGGCCCCTGGGGCGCGTTCTTGAGCTCCTTCCTCGAAGAACAGCCCAGGTCCAACAACTGGCCCTTGGGAAGGGGTCGATTCGGGGATTGGCAGAGCTCTTATCCTGCCAAGTCGCTTAGCGAATCCGCCCACGGGTCTGCTCTTTTGGCCTCGCGAGGGCGGTGCGGCCGCCAGTTGCGCGGGCCTTGGACCGCAGCGTTTGGTCCCCAAACCGTTTTCAGCAACAGGGGCTTTGTCAACTGCGATCTGTCCACCCTGGGTCGACAGATCCGGGGCCCAGGTGTTGAAACAGCCGCGACGCCAGAGGTCTGGGCCCTGAGCTTCCCCGAGGCTTCTGGAGGTCCCACGGGGCGGGTCTTGCAAGAGAGGTGTCCCTGGCCTCAAGGTATGCCCAAGATTCCCTTTGGAGGCCCAGATGAACCTCCAGAGCACCTCTCACGAAGACCACTGGGCCCTGTGGGCTTCACAATGGCGCGAAAATCTGGACACCTTGGGCCAGGGACACTTCTAGCACCCCCTCACTGAATCTTCCTGAGGTCCCCGGAGGACGCCCGCAGACCTCGAGGCGGGAACCTCGATCCCCAGACCTCTCGACGTTGTGATTTTCCTCGCACTGTGGACTCCCGGAGGTCTCCACTGCGTCCCCGGAGCCGGCCCTTCAAACCTGGGTCGTTTGTTTTGGCGGCCCCAGGGCTGGGCAGGGCCCCCCAGCCCGAGATCGGCTCAGGAACTGTTGGGCTCCAGGAGATCTCCACCGCTTCTCCAGAGCCGGTTTCTCATCCTGAGTTGTTTTGGTTGACCACCCCGTAATGATCGACTAGAGCGACCTCTGGTGCGGGCCCATCGGGGTTCCCCCGATCGCCGAACGCGATGCGACAGTAGCGTCTTGCGCGCTTGTGTTTGGCCCCCCCGCGGCCCCCAATGAGCCGCGCACCAAAGGTCACTCTTACCCAGGGCCACTCTTACGTGTAGCTGAAATAATCTTCTTCAAGGCGCTAGGTGGCCTGGTTTCCGGGGTGCCACGACAGGACCCTGCCGCAATTCTGTGGGGGATCCTGGCCAGACCAGGCAGGATCCTGAGTCCACCACGGTTGGTCGGCGATTCTCCCCTCGAGCAAACGAACGACTGGGAAGGACCTAGCAGCGGCCGCACGCCAGCCTCGATGCGGTGGGGGGCGGGACCTGCCTGCGGCGTTCTAGAAGAGGACCTTTCCATTGAGGGCCGAAGGAGTTGTCGCCTGTTCCTTGGCGGAAGGCGGCGGAAGGTGGCGGCAGGGCGGCGGAAGGGCGGCGGAAGTGAAGCTGGGGCAGCTTCGCCGGCGGAAGCTGGCGGGAGCAACATCTGCGCCCTCTTGTTTTTTTTTTTTTTTTGTTTTTTTTCTGGGGGGGGGGTGTTCCGGGTTTCCAGAAGCCGCCACCAGTGGCCCCGCTCGGGGCAGCGCAGGGGGAACGCTCAGGTTGGCGGGCGCGCATCTTTCCCGGGCGGGGAGGAGGAGGGGAGGAGGAGGAGGAGGAGGAGGAGGGAGGAGGAGGAAGAGGAGAGGAGGCGGAGGAGGAGGCGGAGGAGGAGGAGAGGAGGGGGAGGGGAGGAGGAGGAGGAGGAGGAGGAGGACGAGGAGGAGGAGGAGGAGGAGGAGGGCAAGGCGGCGCGCCGCCCGGCGCCCGCGCAGCTCGACCGGGCGCACGGGGCCCGGAGCGACGGGGTTGGAAGCAGGGCGACTGCGTCTTGGCATCGCTCGGACGTGTGTACACACTGTTCCTTTCTAATTCTTCGAGAGTTCTTTGATTTGTCGGGGGGCCAAGATCCTTTCATTTCTAATTGCTCTATCCTGGGCCTCTTCCTGGCCACTAGGGGGCCAGGAACAATTAGAAACGAACACAATTAGAAATGAGCACGATTAGAAATGAACGACGTGCATTTTCCTTCGGAGAGGACCGTCGAGGAGCATCCTGGATAATTCAGCAGCAAAGAGCACACGCACGACACCGGCACATGCGCGGGGACTTTGACGTCCGAGCGACGGCAAGGTGTACGGTCAGGAGCTCTGGCTTCGCGTGTCGCTCTCCGCGGGTTCTGGCCCACCACGCCTCGGCGCGACACGCTGTCCAGATCCAGTGTCTTGGGCGGTCTCGACACCCGTGCGCCGCCTCCAGCGACGCCCCTGAGGCGCTCCGCGCCCCAGGTTTGGTGTTGACCGCTCCAGGCTACTCGCGGGGCCTGTTGAGGTCAGCTGGGACCACTGGGGGAGCCTTTTGAGGCCAGCCGGGACTACCTGGGTGGAGGGGGGGCTGTCTGTGCGCAACCCGAAGCCTCGCCAAGAGGGGGGCGAGGGCAATTGGTGTACGCACCGCCGATCTCAGCCGCTTTCTGCTGGCGGCGCGTTTCGGACTCTGGGTCCTGTTGCGGGGCCAGGAGCGGCTGTGGTGATCCCGCGCGCGTGCTGTGCATCACGCGGACAAGGCGTCCAGAAGTCGGGATCATGGGGCCGAAGAAGCCTGGCTGCCCCACCCGGGCGGTCGCAGCGGCCGTCTGGGCAGCCCCGCAGACACATTCTTTCTATCGTCAGCGGGCCGCTGCGGACCCAGCCAACATGTGATAGCTGACATCCTCCGATGCTGACTGCATCGGGGAGGTTAGGCAAGGTTCGTCGAGTTAACACATCCCGAAGCATCGACAGACGCACGCAGCCCTGGCCGCGGCAGAGCGCAGTGGCGGAACTCGATACTCTTGAGCGTCTGCAGTCTGCACGGTTTTCTCAAGCTCAAGCCCGCGTGCCTCCGTTGTGCAGCTCTCCTCGATGACGGTGGCCAGCCAGCGCTGGCCACAGAGGATCGTCCCCTGCCCTCCCCTGCGATCCTGACGTCGCAACTTTTTCACATCTGGCAGTTTCGCCATATTTCGGACCCAGGGACCCTCGCGGTCTGGTTCGAAACTCTGCGCCGGAAGATGGAGTCTCGGGCTCTGGTCGAGATTTTCGACGGTGGTGCATTTTTCCCTAATCACGTTTCGCTGGAGGATTCGAACGAACTGAGGCAAACAGAGGACCGCGGCAGAGTCCCACATGGGGGACGGGGAGCCCGAGGGCGTCTCGTCCAGCAGCCGGTTCGGCAGCCGTTGCGCCGGAGACTTCCTGGCGAGGCGAGCAGGAGTCGTGCCCTCCACGACTCCTGGGCACAGGCACAGGCACCCTCCACGGGATGGTTCCTGGGCCCCGGGAGAGGGTGGCGGTGTATCAATCACCATTTAGAGCCAGTGACGTCATGCACGGGGAGGTACATGCAAAATTCGTCGGAGGGTATCTGTGTATACATATATATATAGCTGTATATATATATATATATATATGTATATATCAGGAGGGGAACACACACACAGACACTATTAATCGCCGATCCCCAGTGACAAATGGGAAAATGTTGGAAGTGGGGGGGAATACGAGCACCCAGATCATGTGGGAGCATCTGGGGCATCCTGGCATTTGTGTCTATCTATTTGTGTGTCCTTGGGCCCCTTGCGTATTTGCGTGGCGTACGCTCGCCCCAGTGCCAGCTGCTTTGTGGTCCGGGCGGCCACGATCCCGTGTGACAACAGCACTGCGGTGCACATGGCCGGCGTGCTCCCGCCCCTGCCGCACGGCCACGGCCCACTTTATAAAAAGCACGCGTGCTGCGGTGCACGTGGCCGTGCTCTCTCTCACAGGTGCCACACGGCCGCGATCCCTGGGGAAAGAATATCGTTAAACCCGCATAGTAAGGATGGGCAACCTTCCCAGGGGTACCACTGCGTCCTTGCCTCCTCGGTCCATCCTTGGCCACTTT